CTTTATTCAACTTTCATTTAATAAATATAAATATCCAAAGTACAACTTCTGGATTATAGCGGCTTTTCCACACATAACCTCCCTCCCGGCCACAACCATCCTATCTCCCACTCCCTCTCCCATCTCATTCTTCATCAAGATTCATTTTCAATTATCTTTATATACAGAAGATCAACTTAGTATATACTAAGATGTCAACAGACTGCACCCACACAGACACACAACGTAGAAAGTACTGACTGAGTACTAGTTATACCGATAATTCACATAGTACAACACATTAAGGTCAGAGATCCTACATGGGGAGCAGGTGCACAGTGAGAGCTGTTGTTAATTTCACAATTGAGACTCTTATTTACGACATCAGTAATCACCCGAGGCTCTTGTCATGAGCTGCCAAGGCTATGGAAGCCTCTTGAGTTCACCAACTTCGATCTTATTTAGACAAGGCCATAGTCAAAGTGGAAGTTCTCTCCTCCCTTCAAAGAAAGGTACCTCCTTCTTTGATGGCCTGTTCTTTCCACTGGGATCTCACTCACAGAGAGCTTTCATTTAGGTAAATTTTTTGGCCACAGTTTCTTTGCTTTCCATGCCTGAAAAACCCTCATGGGCTTTTTAGGTAGATCCGAATGCCATAAGGGTTGATTCTGAGGTCAGAGTGCTGTTTAGGGCATTTGCCATTCTATGAGTCTGCTGTGTATCCTGCTTCCCATGTTGGATCCTTCTCTCCTTTTTAAAAGTATTGTTTCTTAAAGAAAAAAAAAAACAGAACTGTATAGGGAATCCTTTCAGTTTTAGAACTCTGGTCAGTAATTTACTTGCAAACGTTCAAAGTATATAAAATTTTTTATATAGTCCTGTGAAGTATCTTTCAGGAGACATTATGGTTATAGGATTAATAATAACCTTAAGACCACTTAGTCATCCTATGGGACCAACAATATGTGTCACTCAGCAGAATGAAGCACCCTGACCTGGAGAGTTCCCAGAGGGAAGAGTCCATCAGCACAGATGCAACTGCAGAACAGAACAACACCAACAGAACTGCCAAGAGCTGATACTTTCCAACTTCTCTATACATTTGGGAATTTAAATCTTACATAAAATATGTAATAACGTGAATATATATTTGTTCATAAATATACATATATAATTGTTTACATGAAATTAGCAATGGGCTCACATATAAATGATAAAAATCCACCACAAAAGAAAACTTGATGTTGCCAAAGGACATCTCAAAAAAGTGCCCAGTATCCTGAAGCTTTCTGGGAATGAAAATTGAAATTACAACGAGACATGTATCCACATTGGTCAGAGTGGTTAAAATGAAGAATGAACATGCTGCTTGGGGAAGAAATTGAAGGAATTGTTACTCTTATAAGTATGATTATAAATTGCTTAAATTATTTGGACTATTCATTACAAGTAGTTATGAAAACTGAATTAATATATGTATCTTTTCCAATTGTTTTTATAGATATACTGAATGGAATAATAATGATTAGGATAATAACAGCACTGTTCACATCAATTGTGACCTAATCAATTCAGATACACATAGAGGCACAATGAAAAAAATGTGTGGAATAATAAAGTAAAACAGGAGAAAGAAAACAACTTACTCACTACTTTTTTGTATAGTGAATGAATGTCAGACACACTGTAAGAAGTGGAAAAACCAGATACTAAAAAAATAATGTGCCATTCCATTTATACTAAGTCCACAACCATGCCAGGCCATGTCATTATTCAGGATAGATTTAGGGAGGGGGAGGGTAGTGAACATGAGGAGATATAATGAGATTCTGAGATCCTGGAATAATCACACAGTTCATTCATAATAACTTACTGAGTTACGCTATACATTTAGGAAAAATACAAAATTCTCAATATATATTACACTTCAAGGTGAATGTTTGTTGAATAAGAAAGAGGTCTAACTCACAACAGTGCTCAAGTTGAGGTTTGCATTCCCCTCTGACCCTGGATCTCTCTCTCACTGTCCACTCTGCCTGTCAAAAATAAAAAAAAATAAAAAAAAAAAATTAAAAAAAATAAAAAAAAAAATAAAAATAAAAATTACTGATGTGTTAGGAAAACTTCATCCCAAACCTTCACATTCCTAAGATTAAGTAGGGATTATGATGGTGGATATTTGTGGCCCCTTTTGTCTCTAATTATGTATGAATCTTTCTCATTCTATAAAGAGAAAATGCCAGGAAGGGGTCTCAATAAAAGGGAGGAGTAACAGACACCCACTGTTCGGTGATAAATTTGTAGCTCTAAAATGGTCATCAATTTCAGTTTATCCAAATCAGGTAATACAACTGCTGTAGAGCCCAGTCAAGAAGCAAAATTGGACTTGCAAGCATTCTACAGAGCCAATTTTTTCCAATTCTCATTTTCATTAACTTGTGCTCCAATAATTGACTAACTTCATGTTTATTTGCAAGTCATTGCTGTGTAAGACAGTAAGTAAATATTGGTGAACCCTGTTGAACTGATTGTCTACTTGTTAGGAAGGTAGCAGGACTCAGGCGATAAGAAATTCAACCTGAGCTCTGCCTCTTGCAGGAACCACAACCAATTATTTGAGCAAGGGGCAGAATTTCTAAAATGGGAATCATCTCATCTTAAGCAAAGGTAGATGAGAGATTCTAAAGAAACATTATAGGTGTGAAAATTCTCTTTAAATTATCAGCATATTTTTAGAGATGAACAATTCAATTTTGTGTATCTGAGTTCTTGAGAAAAACTGACTTTTCCTTACTGCATTTAGAAATAGCTGCAACTATCCAGCATAGTGCACCGTCATCTGGGTACAGAAATAGCCTAATGTTCATCACCTGGTGAGTTTATAAAGGAATTCTGAGATATGTACAAGCACCCAGTAGAACATGATTCACCTTAGAAGCAGAGGAGATACTGGCATTTGTGGGAATATGGATGAATTGGGGAACTGCACGGTAAGAGAAATAGCACCAGGAATAGATAGAAAAAGGGCGTATGCAAAATCTAAAAAAATAGTGTCAAATATAGAAACATGAGTATATTTATCATTGCCAGGGATTTGGTTGAGGAAGACAGAGAAAAATTAGGTGAAAGGTTATACATTTGCAGTTATGGAGGATGAGTAAGTCTGAAGATTTGTAAGCTGGAGTCCACGTCCTCCACCATGCCCCCTGTGTGATCACATGCCCCTATCCAACCCCACCTGAATGCCCACCTGCCAATCAGCTACATAGCCCCTCTCCATTGGAAGTGGGGAAAGGCCTGGAGCATGGTGGGCCCTCCCTTTTTTGTCACCCTTCTTGCCTTTGTGTTGCCATTGCTGCCTGTGCCTTCAGGGCTCAGAGCCTTCGGGCTGCCCGCTCCCTGCTTTCCTGCCTGCATGCTTGCTGCACGTGGCTCCTGGCCTGCTCTCTGCTTGGTATGGACCTCCACTTAGCCTCTAGACTGTTCTTTCTCCCTTAGTTAAAGCCCTCACTCGCCTATTTATTTCCCTCACTGAATAAAATCCTTAAAACTTAAAACAAAAGAGACAATGGGCATCATGGAAGTTATTTAATAATACTTGGAAATTTGCTAACAGAGTAGCTTTTAGGAGTTTTATCAAAAAAGGTAACTGTGTAGATGGTAGATATGAAAATGCTTGATAGTAATTTGATTTAATATATGTATATATATCTCAAAGCATCTTGTTGTGCATCTTGCATACATACAACAAGAATAAATTGAAATAGTTATCAATTTAGGACCAAAACAATGGTATCTTTACAGAACACTCCTTTGTACAAGCAATGTCTAGGTGACCTGGTAAGGTTTGCCATTCTGGTGCCGTGTATGTCCTCCTGCTCACACGGTGTCACCTCCCAGTCAGGCCTGCACATGGCGGTCCTTCTGTGCCCTGGGTCTGTTTAAAGAAATCCTTGATCCCATTCACCACTGGCTTGTTGTTCTGTCCACAGTCTCCCTTTCTAGCTTCTCACTATCTTATCGTGTTTTTTTTTTTCAGACAATGACAGGCCAAGAAAGCAACACAGACTGCAGTGTCTTGTACTGCCTGGGAGGTGGGAGAAGTCATAGTTTGTGCACTCCTCTCTATCCAGTTTTCTGAGATTGGCTCTTGCTGCGAATACATGAAGTTTCACCTCTGCAGTGATGGAAAATGGAGAAACTCTACCTTTATTTCTTCTCTACAGAAAGTAAGACCCAGCTACTTAGAGAACTATGTGATGTCTCTTCAGAGTAACATTTTATTTCAAAAATTGCTCTTGAGGAAGCTGAGATGTCAGCCATAATGCTTCACAATGGACATGAAAAAGTATCAGTTCCTGTTGCAGTTCTGCCACGTGTGAGCTCTGAGACACTACAGGTGTCCTGTTTTCTGAGAGTCTCCATTTCCTCATTTGAAAGAGAAAAAGAATATCTGCACTCAAATGATTGTTTTAGGGGTTTAATTGTGAAAGTTGTGAATATTTACATGATAAGTATTCAATATAAAAGTATTAATTATTTTAGTTATGATGTTTAGTATTGTAATGTTAATATAGTTCTCTGAAATATTTTCAATGAAAATAGTCAAGTGTTTCCAAGTGTGTTATGGGATAAACATTTTATATGCAAAGTATGGTAAACATGATTGCCTTCAATGTCATGAATTCCCAATGTAATAAATAGGAATGTTGAACAATTTTGCAATCAAATAATTTATTACATCAGATCTTAATTTTGGTTGCTCATTGGATCCACCTGGATTTGTTTACAGAAGCCTTTTCAAAAGAGGGCTTGTGATCTACCATACACTGATTTAGATAAGAATTTCTGGGTTGGATTGGGGATGAGGAAAGTATTGGAAAGTAGAGCAAGGGGAAAGACAGTTTATTTTCATTGTTTCAGTGGACCAAAGTCCATCCAGAAGAAACACCAAAGTACATCAATCCACTGGGTACTTTGTGGGTCAAAGACACACATCAATAATAGCGAGTATTATAAAAACCTGCGATTGCCAGCTCTCAGTTGTCTCAGGAAGAAGAGAAGGTTCCCATGGATCCTGTGGTGGTGCTGGGGCTCTGTCTCTCCTGTTTGCTTCTCCTTTCACTCTGGAAACAGAGCTATGGGGGAGGGAAGCTTCCTCCTGGACCCACTCCTTTTCCAATTCTTGGAAATATTCTGCAGATAGGTATTCAAGACATCAGCAAATCCTTCACCAAAGTAAGTACACATTATGATGCCCCAATGGTTGGTAAAGGGTAAGTAATTAATCTCAGATTTTAAATAACATATATTTCAGGAGGCAAATTACTAAAATATTATGTTTAAAGGAAGTGCTCCCTTGGGATTACTATTTTAATGTGTCACTGTCAGAAATAGTTGAATCAAATAATGTATTTTGCTAGTAGAGAAATATTTAAGTTGTAAGGTGGAGTCAAAATAATTAAATGTTACTACCTTTCTTTGTTTCAAAGTAATTTTAGCAATGATTTTGTGTCCTAAAATTAATGCTAACAGATTGTTTGGTGATCATCGATTTTATTAAAATTATAATCCAGTGTTTATGAATTGTATTTTGTTTTGATAATTAAGCTGCAAGGAAGTAAATTATTGCTGGTGTCAAGAAAATATTTATAGTTCCACAACAAGTACAAGTGAATGAGTGACAGAATGCGTTTGGGTCAGCTGTGTCCTACTGGAGCAGGTTTGGACCTGCACAAAATTGTTGTCTGTGATTGGGATCATGGATTAATTGTCCTTTTGTGAGATCTGCACCTCCTTGCCCTGTCTCTGTGGTGCCCACTGTCTTTCTGTGTTAATAATAGCAGCAGATTTTAAACCACATTGGGCATTAGGATTATCTGGACGACTTTAACAAATGCATATGTCTAGTATTTCTCAGTGATTAGTAAGATCCTCATCAGAAGAGCTTTACAGATGATATGAAGCAGAGTATTATGGTAATTTGATGTTGGTGTAAATTTGAACATTGAGTCTTAATAAAGTGCTTCAACATCAGATGTTGAAAAATCAACATTAAGGTTTGGGTCTCGTATTTATTAATCTTGGGACATAGATTTTGAAATTCAATACATTTTAGTCTATCTGTAAAACAGAGCAAATAAACCTTGCTCAATGTGTTGACTAGTTGTGATAATCTTTCCCCCTGCAATAGCCTGGCTGTTGGGAGTCACTGTTTGCAGAACTATAGCAGTCACCACCATGTCCATATCTAACATCCAGAAGTGTTTGAGATTGTATTTGACAGAACAAAAATATCAATATGATGAATCATGCACCTCTGTAGACAAAATGAGACTCCTTTTTCTCATGTTTGCATTTTCTTTCCTGTTTCCAGCTGTCAGAAGTCTATGGCCCTGTGTTCACTGTGTATTTGGGCATGAAGCCCACCGTGGTGATACATGGATATGATGCAGTGAAAGAAGCCTTGGTTGATCTGGGAGAAGAGTTTTCCGGAAGAATCGTTTTCCCACTGACTGCAAAAATTAATAAAGGATATGGTTAGTGTTCTTGTGCATGCGTCTGTGTGTGTGTGTGTGTGTGTGTGTGTCTGTAGGGTGGTGCTAAGGGGTATGGAGAGGGTGGAGAACAGAAACCTAGGTGGCTCCTCCTGCAGTGCTGGGCCAATTCACGAGGCTTTCAGCTATCAGCTTTCTATTCCTCACCTGAGGTTTTCCTCTTACTTTACATTTCTCTTCCTGTTAGGAATCGTTTTCAGCAATGGAAAGAGATGGAAGGAGACCCGGCGCTTCTCGCTCATGACCCTGCGGAATTTCGGGATGGGGAAGAGGAGCATTGAGGACCGAGTTCAAGAGGAGGCCCGCTGCCTGGTGGAGGAACTGAGAAAAACCAACGGTGGGTGATGCTCTATGTCCTTAAGAGTGTGGCTTTTTTTTGTTTGTTTTTGTTTTTGACAGGCAGAGTTAGACAGTGAGAGAGAGAGAGACAGAGAGAAAGGTCTTCCTTCAGTTGGTTCACCCCCCCAAAATGGCCACCACTGCCGGTGTGCTGGCGCCAATCCGAAGCCAGTAGCCAGGTGCTTCCTCCTGGTCTCCCATGCGGGTGCAGGGCCCAAGCACTTGGGCCATCCTCCACTGTCTTCCTGGGCCACAGCAGAGAGCTGGACTGGAAGAGGAGCATCTGGGACTAGAACCCAGGGTGCCGGCGCCGCAGGCGGAGGACTAGCCAAGTGAGCCGCGGCGCCGGCTCCGAGTGTGGCCTTTTTTAGTGATGACCCTAGACATAGTGCAAAGACAGCAAGATCTTTCATTCTGGGTCTTGGTTGTCAGATCCCTGCAGGATCAGGTACTGATTGAAGCAGAGAGCACATTTGGTTGAGTTTCACAAAGTGACCATGTATACAGTGTTGGAAATAAAAGCCTCTTCTTTCATCCTTGCTTTGTTTCAAATCCTCATTTTTTTGGAGATAAAGTGTAATTTTTTTTACATAGTGTAATTTTGGGTAATACTCTAGGACATTTCCCCAGGGATACTCTCCAGGGTGCATGGCAGGAATGGCTTCATCACTTCCTTAAGGAGCATGAAAAGATGACAGATGCTTTCATTTAATTGGTCTCAATTTATAGGATGAATTTCACTGGCAAGGCCCCTGTCTACAATGGCTGCCAGTGCTGATCTGTGTCTATATGATTTTATTTGCTTACGTGTCTCTTAGTATTGTCTTCATGCTTTCTCTGTGGAGAAATAACTATTTTAAAACTGTTAGTGAAAATTATTTAGTTTTACTTAAATGCTTGCTGTGTGGTTTCATATATTTTGAATGAACGTATACTATAGGCAAATCCTGCAAAATACACAAAAAGCAATACACAGAATGATTTATTCAACTCTTTTTATTCCATCCCAAATTGTTGGCTTTGTTTCCATCTTTGCTTATTTGAAAATTAATAATAATAGTTGCATTTAATTAAATAATTAGAATAATTAAAAAATTTTAATCATCTCATTTGCAGATTAATAATGTTTTTTATTTTCTATATTTTATGAAAACATGACATCTGGCAGTGTTGTGGGTAAGATGTCCACTCCAGTGGGTGATTCATTCCCACAGATAGCAAATATTGTGTCCCTAGCAAGCTCTTGATACACAGAACAACCTCTCCAGAGCCCACACTTGGAAGTGTCTCTGTTACCAAACTCTCACACGCCAAATCAATATTCTTCTCACCCTGAGTCTTCATAGTTCTGGGTACTGGACCCATGCCCTTTTCATAGCTCAGGGATCTTTGAAGTTATTCAGATGATCTAATCCTAAATGTACTCAACATAGCACCTTGCCTCACTCATTCCTCCCCATAAATCCGGGTATAAGTTCAGCCCCCTGTTTTCCCCTGGCTCCTGCCTAACTGCACCTGGTGCTTCTCTGCCTGCCACATGCTTCTTCATGCTTCTCCACCTCCTGTAGAGAATGTCCTGTCTTTTCAATGCCCTTCCTCTCCTGTCCTGCTGGCCTCAGCACAGCTGACTAAAAACAAAATCCCAGGTGCAAAGAAAAGCAATTGATTTGTGGTTAGAGCTTTTATAATAATAATTTACTCCCCACTGCCAGCTCCACTCCTCTATGAAGGTCTTGTTACAATCAGTTTGATAATCCAGCTTGGATTCCAAAGAACTCTAATTTTCAATTATGTCTACTTAATGAAGTAAACATTTTTATCTTTTTTAAAAAAGATTTATTTACTTATCTGAAGGACAGAGATACAGAGACAGATAGATAGATAGATAGATAGAGATCAATTTTCCATCTACTGGTTCACCCCCAAATGGCCACAATGGCTAGGCCTGGGCCAGATTGAATACAAGAGCCAGGAGCTTCTTCCAAGTCTCCCAGTGGATACAAGGGCTTAGGCCCTTGGGCCATATTCCTTTGCTTTCCTAGTCACATTAGCGGGGAGTTGGATTGAACCGGGACTTGAACTGTGTCCATGGGATGCTGATACTGCTGGCGGTGGGTTAGCCCACTACATTGCAGCGCTGGTACATGAAGTAAATATTTTTTTTTAAGAATTATTTTATTTATTTGAAAGACAGAGTTACAGAGAGATGTAGAGCCAGAGAGAAAGAGGTCTTCCATTCCACTGGTTCACTCCCTAAATGATCGCAATGGCCAGAGCTGAGCTGATCTGAAGCCAGGAGCCAGAAGCTTCTTCCAGGTTTCCTACGTGGGTGCAGGGGTCCCAGGACTTGGATCATCTTCTACTGCTTTTCCAGGCCATAGCAGAGAGCTGGATCAGAAGAGGAGCAGCCGGGACTCAAACTGGTGCCCATATGAGATGCAGGCACTGCAGGCTGGGGCTTTAACCCACGGCACCACAGCGCCAGCCCCGTAGTAAATATTTAAAAAAAAAATATTTGATGGAGGGGCCAGCGTTGTGGCACTTTGGGTTAATGCCCTGGCCTGAAGCACCGCATCCCATATGGGTGCCGGTTCGAGACCCGGCTGCTGCAGTTCCCATCCAGCTCTCTGTTATGGCCTGAGAAAGCAGTAGAAGATGGCCCAAGTCCATGGGCTCCTGCAGCTGTGTGGGAGACCTGGAAGAAGCTCCTGGCTCCTGGCTTCAGATTCACAGCTCTGGCCATTACAGCCATCTGGGGAGTGAACCATTGGATGGAAGACTCCCCCCCCCCCCCCGCCTCTCCTCTGTGTAACTCTGACTTTCAAATAAATAAATAAATAAATCTTAAAAAAAAATTATTTGATGGAACAAGAACATAAACCTCAGCCATTTTAGGTCCTTGTTACCCCTGCCTTCTTTCTAGAGACCAGTTCAGTCTCATATGCTGTACTGTTCCCCAACCCATCACTTGCATTCTTCTCCAGGTTTGGAAGCCAGTGAGCCAGTGAGAAGAATCAGTATGGAGAAGCTCATCTCTGCCTACTGTCCCCCCATCCCCACCCCAGCCCACCTGAGATATAAAAGGGCCCAGCCTGCTGGGGTCTGGGCCTCTGCCATGTATTCTGTCTGTGAGCACAATGGCAGTTGGTTGACCTCTGCAACTTTATTTTCTCTAATAAATTTGGTCTGGCTGCGGGTTTGTATTCCATCTCCTCTCTGTTCTGCGCCTCTTTTCCTAACATTATGGAGCCCCTTGTGAGGAGGGGAGCTTAGGATCTGGCTTCTGGGTAAGAGCTGTGGCTCCTTTCCCCCTTCTTCCGAAATCTCTTGCCTTCTCTCTGTGGCATGCTAAATCTTCATTTTCCTTTAAGAGGGCGACCATGGATGCCTGGGAATAACCTGGTGGATGACTGAGAGCCTCTGACCAGGGCAAGTCTCTGGTGAGGCTCGAACATCCCCAGGTGAAAACCAGACACTGACAGCCCGATAGGGTTATTATCTCCCTTTCTACTTTCTTTTCTGACCTGGCTTCTCCTTGGAGTGTGGGGGGAGGGTGCAACATACAGGATTCCCTGGAATCTAACCAAACACCATTAAACAACTGCCTTGTCTCATATTCCTTCTCTTTAGTCTTTGCAGTTTCTACGCATAGTTTCGTCAATTATTCAATGTCTCTAAAAGGTCCTTAGCCTATTCCTTCCTTAATTGTAAGTTTTCAGAATGTAGTTCTACAGTGATAACTTATTAGGTGTTTGAAAAATGGCCCCCCAATTTTTTCCTTTTGCCCTCCAAAATAACATTGACCTATGGTCAGAATCTTGTACACAGAAGCACTAAGGTTTCTTTCTGGCAGTGGGTGTTTTTGGGGAATTGGAAAACCTTTTTAAATAAACTTGATGGAATAGTGAATTCAAGTTTATGGGGGAAAGAACAGTGTTATTCTAAGCACTTTGAAGATTTTTTGATAAGGTAATTTATATGAAAATATTGTTTTAGATTCTAATATTTAATCTGCATGTTAGTTCAAAGGCTAAAAGATTTGCTTGGGTGTTTTGATAGTATTTAAAAATGTTTCCCGTTCTTCAGGCTCTCCCTGCAATCCCACATTTATCCTGGGTGCTGCTCCCTGCAACGTGATCTGCTCCGTGATTTTCCAGAACCGTTTTGATTACACAGACCAGGATTTTCTTAGCTTGATGGGAAAGTTGAATGAAAACTTCAAGATTCTGAATTCCCCCTGGGTACAGGTGAGACCAAGTTCCTCTCTTTCTGAAAGATGAGTTCAGACATAGGTGTGCAGTCTCTCCATGTTTATATCACAGCTCAGTCCATAGAATTTTGTCTGGAAGTTATATTCATTCTCCTTCTTGTTTTACTTTTCTTTTTGCTTTTGCCAGTGGCTTCTTTGACCTTTTTCTGAACAAGAAAAGTTTCCTGTTTAAGCTGCAGAAACTTTTCTGACTATGGTCATTGTTCCTTCTGGGGCAGATTTTTTTTTTTTTAAGATTTATTTATTTATTTGAAAGGCAGAGTTACAGAAGGAGAGGGAGAGAGAGAGGGAGGTATCTTCCATCCACTGGTCCACTCCCTAAATGGCTGCAATGGGCTGGGCCAGTCCGAAGGCACAAGTTAGGAGCTTCTCCTAGGTGTCCCATGTAGATGCAGGGGCCCAAGCGTTTGGGCCATCTTCTAGTGTTTTCCCAGGCCATAGCAGAGAGCAAGATGGTAAATGGAGCAGCTGGGACTTGGACCGGCACCCATATGGGATGCCTGCATTGCAGGTGGCAGCTTTATCTGCTACACCACAGTGCCAGCCCCCTGGGAGCAGAATTTTTACAGTTCCTAATGCATTTGGGGTGACAATCTCAAAGTCACCTGCTGCTTTACTGAGAGCCCTTTGCTCTCTCTCCTGCTATGAAACATAGCTCTTTGTTTCTGTTTCTTGGAACGTTCTGCAACCATGTCTACCACTTCCTCCAGCAGATCCATATACTCTATCATAGAGACTGCCTCAGTTTCTGCCATCAATAATGCAACCTTTCATGGGTCCATAATTTGATTGTTGCTGTCCATTATAACTTTCATAACCATTGTAGTTCCACCACCACCGCAGTTATCTCCAAAATTTCCTCCTCCTCCGTTGTCACCATCCCATTCTCCTCCTCAGTCATATCAATCACCTTGGTTTCCATGTCCTTTTCCACCACCACTATAACCCCCTCCGCTGCTATAACCAGGACCACCACCTTAGTCGCCACCTTCACCTGCAAATCCATGCTATACACTGTCACCTCCTCCATGATTTCCTGTGCTGCCACCAAGCGCCACAGCCTGTTCTTCCCCCAGGTTGCCACCATGGCCACGATGAGCTCTACAACCTCCAAAGTTACCTTCACGACCCGTAAAGTTGTCAGATCCACCTCCACAATCTCTTGGTGACCTGGCAGCAGGCTGCATCTTCTGTTCAGAAAGGCCCTTTTTGCCTGACAACTATGCCCACTAATAGTCTGGTATTTCTGAGCAACACTTTTATCAATGTAGTGTGATCATCAAACTTCACAAAAGCAAATCCTCTTTTCCCCACTTAGCTTATTTTCCATAACTTTCTTGGTTTCAACTTTCCATACTTCTCAAATTAGTCTCTCAAACTATATTTTTCTGTATTTTCATTAATACCACCAACAAAAATCTTCTCCGTTGTTAGATGGGCACCAGACTTTACAAAATACTCTCTAAAAAGAGCTCTCTATGTATCCACTCCATGCTCATCAACCTTGTGTGTTTGAACATATGTTGCTGCATCCCCCTCTTCAACACAAGACTAAGTCATATAAACCAGAGTCTCCGGAACCTTTCTCTGGAGATCTTTCATTAACACACAATCTAAGGATGTACCCTCTTTCTCAAAATGTTCTCTCAAATTCTCCTCTGAGTTTTAAAGGTCAGGTTTCCTCAATTTCTCTGGTTCCTTAGGAGCATGAGCTTCCATTTTCTGGCCAGACTTTCCTCATCTAACTCGAGTTCAGTATACCCCTCAGTTCTTTTCTTAGCCTATATCCTTGCCTGGCTATGTTTCCTGTTTTCTAAATTTCTCAGTATACATGGGTACTTTTGGATGCCCTAATTGTCCAAGACACACTCTCCCCAGTGTTTCTTGCCGGGTACTTAGTGCAATATGGAAATTTTTTGTAAACCTTTTCCCCAGATTGGCTGCAGGTTGTTTTGGAGAAATGCCTACTTTTTTTTTTTACTACCCTGAGTGAATTCTGAATTAAATGAAACAAAGACAATTGCCTTGTATCAGCCCCTCAGGATATCCTCAGACAAGTAGGAATAGAGAAACACTTAGTTCTTCTTCCTGAGCCAGGGGCAAAATCCCACCTGGGAACAGGGCTGCTCTTGCTAATATTACTGTCAAGTCAAGAAGGGAGGTAGGACAATGAGAAGCAAAATGTCATACAGCTTTTCTACTATTTTTAACTTATCTTTTCTCTCATTCAGCTTTCCCTTGTTGCTGTATATCTTTGACTGTTGTCTAGAGTTCTGGTAAAATTGATTCAGATTGGTTTTGATTGATTTCTCAAAATTTTGTGGTGGGATGGGACTTTTGAGCCATCTATTGTGACATTTTTGCTGATATCAAATGATGAAGTGAATGCCTGAAAACCAGGGTCCTATACATATTGTATCATTGTTTTTTGCTAGTGGTACACTGTGTGATAGTATAGAAGAAACTTAGCTACTCTAGTGCAGAAGGTTTGATTCATAGAATGCTGATCTGGATTCCATGGTGTTTTTACAACCCTCTCATTCATAAAATAGTAATTCAATTCTTGCTGCTGGTAGAAATAGTAAGGAGTGGCTCTGTGCTTACTTTCTTTCCTCATCTACAGAATGTGAATAATAGCAACTCTTGCCAGTCTGTATTTCGAAGTTGTAGGGAAGAGTTATTGTATAAAATGACAGAACTGGCATGAAGATGATAAAAATAATATATGAATATATATATGTGTCATCTTTGAACTTGGGGCCAAGGTTTTCTCCCTTACATGTCAGCACCAAGGTTTACTTTACATGAACAATGAAATGCTGCTGGTCAAGGTAGACCTTTTTCCACCATAGTTTTTTTTCTTTTTTTTTTTTTAATTTTTTTGACAGGCAGAGTTAGACAGTGAGAGAGAGAGAGACAGAGAGAAAGGTCTTCCTTCAGTTGGTTCACCCCCCAAATGACTGCCGCGGCCGGCGCTGCACAGATCCGAGGCCAGGAGCCAGGTGCTTCCTTCTGGTCTCCCATGCGGGTGCGGGGGCCCAAGCGCTTGGGTCATCCTCCACTGCCTTCCTGGGCCACAGCAGAGAGCTGAACTGGAAGAGGAGCAACCGGGACAGAACCGGCGCCCCCAACCAGGATTAGCCTAGTGAGCTGCGGCGCCGGCCCACCATAGTTTTAAAGCCTAGATTGAAGAATGTTTTGTGTTCTGTATATATCTTTAATAAAAATGTTTAACTTATCTTTTTTTTATTTTAAGATGTGCAATAATTTCCCTATTCTTATTGATTATCTCCCCGGAAGTCATAACAAAATACTTAGAAATAATATTTATATAAGAAACTATGTTTTGGAGAAAATAAAGGAACACCAAGAAACCCTGGATATTAACAATCCTCGAGACTTCATTGATTGTTTCCTGATCAAAATGGAACAGGTAAAGTGTTGTTTATTTGCCTGCATTTGGTAGCTTATTGATAAATTGCTTATTTAATGAGAATGCTCAAATGATCAGAGCAGAAACACTTGGCCAGCACTGGAAGCATCTTTGTGTGTATGCATCTTGGTTAAGGATCAAGGAAGAGTTAAAAGTGAGCTGTTAAACAATTCAAATATATGGTTGTGCTTTAGATACTGATAGCCTGTGGAAAGGCGGAATGTGCATCTCAGTTAATACGGAAAATAAACAATTTAAAAAATTCAAAGAAGCAAGGGTTTAACCTGGTGGACTTCCTGCACGTCCTGAGGTTTGATTTTCATCTTCAAATATGTACGTTTAGGTAGAGTAGAAGGGGTTTTACTTGGGAGGAAGGGTTTAATGATAGGTTCTAAAGCATATGTTGGTAAAAATTTGGTGTGTTTTGAATTTTTTTTCTTTTGTATGTCTCTTATAAACATTTACTTTATGGTCACCTCGCAATTCTATGAAACACCTTATACTTAAGAGGGCTATTTTATGCCCACAATTAATATAGGTGGCATATGAAAACCCTACACTTTAACTATATTCCTCTCCATCCAATATTGCACAAAAAGATGTAAAATGTACAATTTTTAAAAATTTGTATTACTTAAGAAATTATTGTAACTATTGCTATTTTTTATAGTTTGATCTTTAAATTTCTTTCCTGGATATACAATTAATTTATACCCCATCTATATAGAACTAGAATGTTTTGAATACAGTATACTTACTCTGGACAGTGAGTTTTGTACTTTTATATATTTTTGTGTTATTGATTAACATCTTCTTATGCTTGAGAAACTCCCTTCAGTATTTCTTGTATGTGCGTCAGTGATCTGTCTTTGTACTGTTGGTCCTTTCTTCTATTCATTTATTTTATTTTTTTAAAAAGATTTTATTTTATTTATTTGAAAGAGTTACAGAGAGACATAAAGGCAGAGAGAGAGAGAGAGAGAGAGAGAGGTCTTCCATCCACTGGTTCACTCCCCAGATGGCCACAATGAAGCCAGGAACCAAGAGCTTCCTCTGAGTCTCCCACATAGGTGCAGGGGCCCAAGCACTTGGGCTATCTTCCACTGCTTTCCCAGGTCATAGCGGAGAGCTGGATCAGAAGAGGAGCAGCCAGGACTAGAACTGGTGCCCATATGGGATGGCAGTGCTTCAGGCCAGGGTTTTAACCCGCTATGCCACAGTGCTGGCCCCCTTTTTTCTATTTAATCTAATCTACCTTCATCTCTTTGAATTCAACTTTTCAGGCAAGTTATAATAATCTTAAGCTCTATGATTTCTTTTTAGCTCTTTTTAATACTTTCTATTTTTGTGGAAATTCTCCATTTGTTCATACATTGCTCTCCTTACTTTGGCCAGCATTTTTATAGTGTCTTTTTTAATTCTTCATCAGATAAAGAAAATATCTCCATTTCAGTATAATTGGTTTCTTGACATTTATGTGTCTCCATTCTTTTTTTTTATTTATTTTTAATTTTATTTACACATAATTTTTTTTACAAAACTTTTATTTAATAAACATAAATTTCAAAAGTACAACTTTTTGGATTATAGTGGTTTTTCCCCCCATAACCACCCTCCCACCTGCAAACCATCCCATCTCCTACTTCCTCTCCCATCCCATTCTTCATTAAGTTTCATTTTTAATTATCTTTATATACAGAAGATCAACTTAGTATATACTAAGTAAAGATTTCAACAGTTTGCACCCACACAGATACACAAAGTATAAAGTACTGTTTGAAGACTAATTTTACTGTTAATTCTCATAGTGCAACACATTAAGGACAGAGATCCTACATGGGGAGTAAGTGCACAGTGATTCCTGTTGTTGATTAAACAATTGACACTCTTATTTATGACGTCAGTAACAACCTGAGGCTCTTGTCATGAGCTGCCAAGGCTATGGAAGCCTCTTGAATTCACCAACTCCGATCTTATTTGGACAAGGCCATAATCAAAGTGGAAGTTCTCTCCTCCCTTCAGAGAAAGGTACCTACTTCTTCCCAGTTCTTTCCACTGGGATCTCACTCACAGAGATCTTTCGTTTAGGTCATTTTTTGCCATAGTGTCTTGGCTTTCCATGCCTGAGATACTCTCATGGGCGTTTTAGCTGGATCTGAAAGCCTTAAGGGCTGATTCTGAGGCCAGAGTATTTACACACAATGTTAACATTACAAAATAGAAAAGGAATACACTATTGTTTTCTTTTTTTTTCTGATTTTTTTTTTAAATTTTTTATTTAGTAAACATAAATTTTCAAAGTACAGTTTATGGATTACAATTGTTCCCCCCCCATAATTTCCCTCCCACTCACACCCCTCCCATCTCCCACTCCCTCTCCCATTCCATTCACATCAAGATTCATTTTCAATTATCTTTATATACAGAAGATCCAATCAGTATATATTAAGTAAAGATTTCATCAGTTTGCACCCACACAGAAACACAAAGTGTAAAATATTGTTTCAGTACTAGTTATAGCATTAATTCACATTGGACAACACACTAAGGGCAGATCCCATATGATAAGTAAGTACACAGTGACTCCTGTTGTTGACTTAACAATTTGACACTC